GCTCACTTATTTTTGCGGGCTGGTGATAAAAGATATCATAATATACAAGATCATTGAATAGGATGGCGAGGATAAAATTCCTCGTCATCATCCTATTCAATAACGTGTTAATTGGATTGCGTGACTTGAAAAATCTGCCTTATGATACCTACTCTGTGTAAACAGGATTATGAGCAGTAAGCACTGATCCAATACTAAGCACTAATGATGCAGCTCTTCACCGAAAATATGTAAGATTTGAGTTTGGAGTTTTCATCATATCTATCCACCCATTTCAGCCTATAAAAGTTCACTGCTAAACATAGATTCTTCCATACATTGCCCCATCGGGAGGATTCTATCATAGTTGTCACGCTTGCAATCGCAGTTTATTTTTTATTATTTTTAGTTGCTATTATTAGAAATTCGCAGCCCATATTCTGTTTTAATTTCCAACTGTCGCCTCTTACTAGATCCACGGAACAATATGGAGTAGTGGATATACTTTCATCGCCACTACACGTTATCCTAATTATATACCTCCAGAATACCGTTTGTAGCTCAGTAGGGTACAGTTCTAGAATGTTAGTCACCATTTGGAAAATAATTATTTACATATATTTGGGGGTCAAAAAGGTGAAATAACAACTTCTTGTTAAATTCGTCATCATCGTCAACAACTGCTTTAAGTCCAAAGCTGGAAATAACCCTTTAATATTTATATATTTTATAAGCAGGATTATTACATTACATGCTATAAGCAGGAGTGCTACCAAGTCCGGGCTGACGCATCAACGTCCTGGGATGTAAACAACAGCGCTCTAAAAAAGAAGTATAATTCTTCCTCCAGGTCCTTCAAAAGAGTCATTGCCAAGGCAAAGTCAGAGCACATAGGTAGAATTGGCGAGAAACTAGTTTGCCTTCCTTCTGAAACTCGTGCATTCTGGTCACTCGCCAAGGCTGACCAGGAGAAATTCTGTCAGCCATCATTGCACAGGGAGGACGACTCACTGGCCCATACTAATGAAACGTATTTTATGATTTATTAAACAAATTAATATTTTAAAGACTTGAAATGTAAGTCAAAAACTAAAGAGGACCACTATATTAACAACATTATATACAATAAAGTTCATCAGGATAACGATTTATGGTTTATCCCATTGGGATAGATGTGGTTGAAGGGGTGTCGGTGGCGGCCATTCCCTGGGGTAGGGTGGAGTGACAATACATACTGAATTGGAACAGATTGAAAGAGGAAAGAACAGATACATATAATATTTATTTTGAGTGTAATACATATGCTCTCAATATAGTAAAAATTTAAATCAACGACTCCACTGTGTAAACCATTAACATAAAATTTGGGGGTGGATTGTGACGGCCCATCAATCAAAAATAGTCTTAATATATTTTATATTATATATATATATATATATATATATATATATATATATATATATATATATATATATATATATATATATATATTAAACAATAGAATTACATTAATAAGCATAAGGTTAAGATAAATACATTTCAGACTTTAGACATAATATTGTCTTTCAGAATAAATAAATTTATTTAAAAATTTGTAAAAATATTTAAAATATGATAAATAATAGAAATACAAGTCGAAAATATTATAAAAATGAAGATAAATAACATTTATAAGATAAATAGAAAATTTGTTAAAAATTTTCTAAGTCATGGAGGGAGTTCGTTTGTAAAAGAAAATTTTCTTAAGTTATGGAAAGTGTACGTGTATAGATGGCTTGTATGGAGGAGTTGCCGGAGACGCATACCTGCGGTTGTACATATATATGAGGTGGTCGAGTGCCCGACTGCTTGAAGTACTGTAGCACAATGACTAGTCCTATGTTAGGGACTTATGATAGCTCAATTATACAAAAGCAATACTATAGAAGGTCTCTATGATGAATTGGCATTACAATAGTAGGGTCGTGGGTTGAAGTCCTATATATTAATGAATATGAAAGTTAGGTCTATGATACAAAAGCAATACTATAGAAGGTCTCTATGATGAATTTGCATTACAATAGTAGGGTCGTGGGTTTAAGTCCTATATATTAATGACTTATGAAAGTTAGGTCTATGATACAAAAGCAATACTATAGCAGGTCTCTATCATGAATTAGCATTACAATAGTAGAATCGTGGGTTGAAGTCCTATATATTAATGACTTATGAAATTAATGTCTATGATACAAAAGAATTATTATAGAGGGTCTCCTTGATGCATAAGCATTATCTGGGGTGGTCGGGTGACCAACTGCTCTTAGTACTGTAGCAAAATGACTAGTCCTTTATTAGGGACTTGAAAAGGATAATTATGGTGGCTTGTATAATGTTTCACGAGCAATTGGTCCGAGGTAAACTTAGACTCGCTAACCGATGTGTCCCAGACATATCATCTTAGTACCGGTGGTAAGCGGGTTTGTTTGCAATACGGCTTTGCCGTGGACATCGCACACCCATACCGTTTGTGGGCGGCGTCGTAGCGCATAGCGATGCGTCGTCTATCTTTCAGATTCGGATGAGTGTGTTTGGTAGCACTTTTAAGTGTAAAAGGCATACTCAACTTCATGTCTTAGTTGATTAGCGCTATGATACGTGGAGTTTTGTTCCCTTTTTTTTTTGCGGATGGAAAATCATCTAATGACGCCTTTCGCTCTGGGTGGAGCGTAAGGGAGTGTCAGACTTTTACTGACTAAAAACCATCCGTGTTCCTTCAGTGCCCTTACGTTCCGGAGCCGCGGTATCTCTTTCGAACAGCCCGCAGCCCCGGCAGGCGTCGGCCCTTGCGGGCTCCTTCACGCTGCTGACAGCTCTTTGAGGCGCGCGTGGAACAAAACGCGCCGTCGACACGGCTTGTCGTCGTTAGACGGACGGACGGCGAGCTACCCATTGCTCGCCGTCCACAGGCCCGCGCCTACGGTGGCCGGGGGCCACGACGTAGCCCCCGACGCCCGGGGCGTCTCCCGCGGAAGTTTTGTTCCCTAGCGTCTAAGTAGCGTGCTACTATGATACGTTGGTGTTATTTTTTAGTTAACAACAATACAAACTTTGTAACCAAAGTCGATAGGGATCATGTGGGTGTGTTGTGAGGTGGCGCCATCCGCATGATAGTTGCATTGATGCTTACTGCTTCTTGTGGTATTGCGCTTGTGATGAATCTGCGGGTGTGCTGCGCCCGATTCGACGCACTCTTGTGGTTCTGGTCGATGGAAGTATGCGGGTAGTGATGTCTGCTGGGATGTATGGGGGACCTTGGGATTGTGTAAGCCCGACGATAGTCGTATTAATGCTTGTTGCGTTCTGTAGCATTACGTATCTGCGATGGTTGTTTGGTGAGACGCTATTCTCAATGGCGCCCTCTGCGTCTTGGTTTGACTCACACCTAAGTATTTTTGCCTAAGTCGGGTCCCTTCTATTATATAACAACATAATAATATATCCCTGTAACTTTCCCACCTTTGAATAATTGAAGGCAACTTGTTGGTGGGTGAGACAAACATGATCGTAAATGTATTCACTCAACGTCAGTGACAAAAAACCTTTATGATGGAATATAATATTATTTATATAGAAAGGGGGGGAGCGTTACAATAACAATGATATGTTGTAAACCCGTAACATTCATTGCTATGTAGAAGAAAGCACTGGTGATGCTCTGTACACCGGCCGTGCCAATATTTCTCGGGAAAACGTCTCCGAGTACTGGGACAAACTTGTGTCTGAAGTCGAATCTTTGCTGAACAGAGTCTCTGATTGGGGGCGAATAAATCTATTCCAGTTTAATCTTCAGAAGACACAAGTTTGCGCGTTAACCGCTAAAAAGAACCCCTTTGTCGTATCTCCTCAGTTTCAAGGCACTCCCGTTGTTGTCTCAGCCAGTTTCGGAATCTTCGGCGTCAACATATCTTGTGACGTGCAGCTTCGTGTTCACTTGGACGAGAAGGTCAAATTGGCTTCTAAAAAGCTTGGCGTGCTCAGCAGAGCGGGCCAGTATTTCATGCCGGCGCACCGCCTGCAACTTTACAAGGCGCAGGTTTGGCCGCAAATGGAATACTGTTCCCATTTTTGGGCTGGAGCTCTCCAGTACCAGCTCCTTCCACTTGACTGCATCCAGCGCTGATCAGCTTGAATCGTTGACGACCGAGTGCTTTCCGATCGGCTCGATTCACTGGCGTTGGGAAGAGATGTTGCATCTCTTTGCGTAATTTATCGCATCTGTCACGGGGAGTGCTCTGAGGAATTGTTCGGATTAATCCCAGCCGCCAAATTTCGTGAACGCACTACGCGGAAAACGTACTGATACCATCAACACCATCTGGATGCTTGGCGGTCCACCACTGTACGTTTCAGAAGGAGTATTCTTCCGCGTACGACCTCTCTGTGGAATATTTTACCACCGGTGATTTTTCCAGACCGATACGACCTGGGGACCTTCAATAAAAGAGCTTACTGCTTTCTAAGGGGCCGGCAACGCAACTACAATTCCCCTGGTGTTGCGGTTGATTATGGACGGCGGTAGTCACTTGACATCAGGTGAGCCGCAAGCTCGTTTGCCCCCTCTTCTATAAAAAAATAAAAAATAGTTGATATGATTGATTAAACAGATTGAAAAGGAAAACCTGGCCTTTTAGCTTGTATGGAGGCTTCGCCACTGTGCAGAGCCAGTGTAATAACAGGCTGTAAGACACTAATCTTAGTCTTCAGATGTGTAACGTGTTGCTTGGGTTAAAAAGTTCTTCGTAATGAAGATACTTTTTTCGAAGACATCTCGTGCCACCTGCAGAACAACGCCTGAATTCCAAAGAACAGTGCAATTAAAGCTTTGTTCTCTTGTATTAGTTGTAGGTATCGATTACTGCATTAGCCACTTACCATTCAACTGAAATGTAATTTTGTTCAATCTTATTTATATATAAAATGAAACAACTACAGCGATATAATATCAATGTGTTATATTTACAACCTAAAATATTTACATTATATTAGCGCTTTAAATCAATAAGACCATGTCGCTGCAACATCTCAACAGAGAGCACGTGCGCGGGTGCGGTCCTGCGGGATGAACGGGTCACGTGACTGAGCTGCGTTGTGTGTGGACGGGCCTCGACCACATGTGGAATTTGACTTCCACGTGCTTGCCCATTTTGACGCAAGGTCTTCAACTAAATTTAAAGAAAAAAATAAGTTAATATTTATTACAATCGATGTAACCAGTGGGAGAGACTATCGCTTGTTCCGTATTTTAGTGTCAGTTAAATTAAATGGGATGTAGCTTCAGGATAAGTGTTCGCCTTAATAATACAAAAATACGCAAATAAAGCTTTCAACAAAAATAAACTAAAACCCCTTTTACTGGTAAGTAAGTCACTCAATATGTTTTGAGATGCTCGAAATTTTGAAATGGAACGCAACTGCTTTTTAGAAACATATAACAAAATGTTATATGTTTCTAAAAAGCAAATTAATTTAAAAATAGAACTCCATAAGCCAATTGTTCAATCAAAAAAAAAGTTCTATTAATTTTAATTTTAACCGTGAACATTTGATTGATCTATTATGATTTTAAATATTGTTTAAACGAATAATTAAGTTTATAATGGTTACAATCAGCATTAAAGGACTCTGTTTCATCACGCGCAACTATTTTTAGGTAGTTTTCTGAATTAAAAAAGGAAAAAATTAACCTTAAATAATGACCAAAGAACCAGACCCCCGTAAACAGCAGTAACAGCAGAAAATGTATGGACTACATAAATGTTGGTGCGAGAAGGCCACGAATCATATATATGGATAATGAAAACATTGTAGGCATTAGTTCGTGGAGCATTCATCCCTCATGTGCTCTCCGAAAGGGAAAAACAGACTCGTATGGATTGGTGCCATGAAATACGTCTACGAAAATGGGGCATCTAGGCGTGTATAAAAAGTCGTTACTGGTGACGAGACATGGATCTATCATTATTATCTGGAAAATAAAAGGCAATAATCGGTATTGGTCTACTCAGAACGACAGTTACCGACAAAACTGCAAAGACCTCGCAACGTCGGCAAAAAAAATGATGCCTAGTTTTTTTCACGGAGCGGAAATTTGTCGACGTCAATGCTGGAAAATTGTAGGTCAAAAAACTCTGACTGGTATACTACAGTTTCATTACCCAAAGCTTTTCTAGCTGTGCGGGAGAGAATTACAAAGACCGGGCTTCAGGGAATCATACTGCCTTCCCTCCCTTGGAAAAAAAGTAGTCATTGAGGAATCTGGTGTTTAAATTCTAAGTCACCCACCCAATAGCCCAGAATTCCTGAGCTCCTTGTGATTTCTTTTTGTTTCCACGGACGACAAAGAAAAAAATTGAAGGCAAGTTTTTTCAAGTGCCGATGAAGCCGTGTCTGCCTACGAAGAAGCGATTTCCGATCTGTCGGATCAAGACTGGCAACAGTGTTTTCAGAGTTGGTTTAGGCGAATGGATCTTTGTATAGAGCATGATGAATAATATTTTGAAAGATATAAAATAAATATTAATAGCATCTAATACTTTCTGTGTATTTTAAAACTTATTGGGTGTCCTACGTAACGATGCATTCCATCTTACACCTCAAGGCTTCTGCGTTTTGATTCTTAATTGAGGATAGATGTCAGAATTCTATTAGCATCGGGCGAAGAACAAAATTATGTCAGAAGAAACATTGTTAACAAGCACAATTCATGTAAGTATGGAATTGAACTTCTTTATAGGAAAACTGTCACAAACTCTACCTATTGTTATCTATATTTTGTGACGGATTAAGAGAATTTACTACCTATATTATTTCGCAGGTATCGTGAGAGGCGACTGAGGGAAATGAAATAGAACCACGAGGACTTGTATTTTGACAAAGGGGAACGGCTGTGTATGGATGTGCACCGGTCTACCGTTGCCCTGCGTTGCTCTATGTTTGAATGACGTCGGGTTTCAATATTTACAAACTTTAATAGTTAATATTAAAAAAAGTCTATCGCTAGGAATTACGTCTACTCTAACGCTAAAATCAGAATAAAGTTGATGCGATATTATCAATATTTACTGTCGCATATTTATCAGGTCAATTCACTTTATTCTGAAGTTCCAATGTTAGAGTTTCCAGATTCATTAACATGTAAGAAATCGTTGACTGCACAAACAAGTAAATAAAACAGTACAACAAATAAATAGTGTGGTCACTACTATTTATTTGTTATAAATAAACAATAATAACAATAATAGTACTGACCATACTATTTATTTAATACATTTCTTAATAATAAAAAAAAATTGGTATCGAGTGTTATTTACCTATTTATTAAAAAATAAACTTACGTGTAAATTAATATTTAATTACGTGTAAACACCGTTTATGCGGTTCATGATAAAGCTCGTAGTCACTCGAAGACGCTTCTGGTTTTTGAGTACATCTCCACTGAAATGGTAAATAAATCAAAAAAAAATTAAGCTTTTTCACATATTTCTCTTAATCCATAACTCCGAAAACCACAGCTGGATATGTGCTTCTCTTATTATATGAGACATTTATTATAACGCTCGCTCTCACTTGACAGGTGAATTGAAAATCGTAGTAAACAGAATATTCGATATATATATATAATAAAATAGTATTTTTCTTATTGGCTCATTTGAAATTTCATCATGAGGCACTTCACTGTCCTCACAAGGTTGAAAAAACATTTTCTGTGTATGTATAAGAGTTAAAAAAAAACAACCTTTCACTACGGCGTTTCGTTTTAAAATGCTATATCCAAATTTTCCTGCGGGTGTTCGCCAACGCGCGGCGACCCTTAAGGTCGCAGGGGCACCTTTCGCGAGATCCGGCATGTGACAATGCGGCGCGACATCTAAGCGAACAGACTACATTATATAACCGTGCAGTGGCAGTGTTAGAATATCCACTACTCCATATCGTCCCTCAGGTGTCGTAAAGGGCAGCAGTATCTTCCTAATAACGACTAAAATAATAAATGAATTCGGGTGCCATCCCGTCTGCTAAACGTGTCATGTAATGTACACATGCCTATTATTATGGAATCAGTGGGGAAAAACAACCTCTTATGATGCAATCAATGAGAAAAAAACAAGTGTTCAACAGTGGAGTTTACGTAGTAGGCTTTAACGGTAACGGTAACGCAATTACTATTGTACCACGTGCACACTATACACACGTGTGTGTGCAAAATTATTAAATTGCATATTTGAATAAATAAATTAACATCGTTTATTTTATTGTGAATTTGTGTGTACAAAATTATTATTAAGTTTCATATTTTGAATAAATAAATCAATTTCCTTTATTGTATTGTGAAATGCGCTCAGGCGTGTCTACGTGCTCCGTCAGCTCCGAATCATCTCTAATTTAGTAAAAAATATATTTGATAGCTTCTTGTTTAATTCCATATAAGATTTGTTTGTTTATAAAAATATCGTTTGAAAGAAAATATCTATAAGAATAATATTCATTTACTAATAGAATCAAAATATACTAAAACAAACACAAAACGGTGCTCATCTTATTTTTAAGAAAACGCATTTTTAATTTATAGCAACGAATTATAGTATGCTCATTATGACTATAAAATAGTATTTACTGCTATTTCTATAGAATTGTTCTAAACGGAATTACTAACTACTTTTTTATCGATTAAGGGTGACAAACGAACACAGAGTCCACCTTATCGTAAGTTAGTCCGACCTATTCGTGTTACAACCATAATAAAGCTGCAGCTTGGCTCTACCACGATATAAGTATTCATATTAGCTTAATTAAAAAAAAACTTAAAAAAACTCACCGTAAATTTATTTTGCTTCCATGCAGCGCGTCCACATACAAGTTTCCGTATAGACCTTTGAAAGTTTCGGGTCATCAGACAGTACACTATAGGGTTTATAGCAGAGTTTGCGTGACCTGATGAATAATGAATTTATGCTTGTATAATTTACGCCTGGGTAGTGCTTATAACCCATATAATATGCTGAAGATTAGAATTTTTTTCTATCAACTTAAGGGCGACAAACGAGCACAAAGTCCATCTGATGTTAAGTGGAACCTATGACCCTTAGACATCTACATTTATTCTCAATTAAGAATCAAAATGCAGACGTGTTGTAACCACTGAAGACTAAAATGAAATACCTCGTTTCCTTACCGTTAGCCTTACCTCACAACAGCATTAAGCTGTTATTTCTTTTTGTGTTACAACCATAAGATTGACTATAACCCTTATGTCTAATAATGTTCACACACAGCAGTTTCATCATATAACATAATAATATTCCTTTATATGTTTAATTTACTACAATTTTTTCATAACCTTCATATACTTAAATTTATTTATAACAACAATTATAATTTGCTATGGCGTTTTATATGCAGATCCGCATTTATCAAATTGAAATCTGCAAAGCTATTAAACATCCCCACTTACTACTTCCTAGACTAGAAACTCCTAGAAACTTCAATTTCTTCATTTTCTTCTACGCTTTAAAATTAAAGACTTAATTTTTTTTTGTAATTCTTGGGCGCCTTTCCTGAGAAGCAGAAGCGGGAGTAGTTATCGAGAGGCTGTCAAGATGCGGCCAAGGCTATTGGAGACGGATGTGAGCGAAAGCGTTCCTGTGGCGATGTCAGTATGGGGTGAACACCATGGTATTGTATCCAGTTCCAGAAAAGGAGTACACAGTTGTCTTAGAAGGGCCTTTATTGTTGAATTCCATTTGAAGTGTATCAAAAGATTCGTCCGGTTTTAGGTGATATTTAAAATCTTAAAAATTAATCATTTTTCAATAAAACATGATACTTCAATTTAGCTCGTAAAAATATGATGGGAACTTTGAAAAAAAAAGTTTTTGTTATTTTTACACTAAAATAATCGTAAAAGTAAAAAATAATCGTATTTTCAAATATATAAGAACTGGCCTGCATAAAAATCACTAATCTCTCTTTGTGGTTTGTCTTATAAAATACGGATGGAAATTCAGATTGGTATTGATTTTCTCAATCTAAGAACAGGCCTTTGTCCAGTAGTAGATATTTACTCGCTGATGATAGTGATCTGAATTTGCGAGAATATAATATTTTATTGATTAAAGCGACTTACGCGGTTCCATCAATATTATATTGAAGCTATGCTATTCAAACTACTTTAAGATATGGTAACAATAAAATGTTAAGATCAACGTAAAAATGCGAATCTGAACACCGGCCTCCTTCACTCTTACTGTTATATAAAATACATAAAAAAGAGTTACGTTTTGTAGGATCCCCTATTTATTAAAATTGAATATATAGCAATATAAGCGCGAACGTCAACAATATTTGATCATTCTTATGACAAATATAACGCTGTATGTTATTGTTTGCTGTGAAATGAATCCAATGAAAAACCAATTGAAATTATAAGTATTAAGCCGTTTTCAAGAAACGCAAATATTATTCATGGTAGCGCCACGCTACAATTACATTATGGTTATAGAACGAATGGATCGGCTCGAACGGGGAAAGAATACGTTTTCACAGAAGACCAGTGTAAAATAGCAGCTTAATGCTGCTGTGTTTTGTATGGTGAGTGTAGAGGAGACCGGACACTCTTATCATTGGAAATGATCTTAAATCTCTAGGGTGACAACGTATCTGCATTTTCATTCTTAGTTGAGAATAAAATAAATCAGGATGCTTATGGGTCACAACATCCACTTGTTCTCAAACGGACTGTGTGTTCATTTGTCACCCTTATTCTTTAAAAAGAAAACAGGAAAGGTAATTATAGTACATATTTGCGATAAATGCGCAAATTTGGGTCCTTCTGGGGATTGAACTAGACTAGACTTAGTCGCCCCAATTCGAGACTTTGTTCAGCAAAGACTCGACACAAGTTTGTCCTGGTACTTGACGACGTTTACTAGAGCAGGTATTGGCACGGCCGGTGTATAAGGCATCACAGGTACTGTCATCTGCATATAAATTAGTGTTACCAGTTTGAAACATATCATTGACATGCAGAAGAAACAGCGTTGGTGATAGCACGCAGCCTTGTGAAACACCAGCGCTTATAGGCTTGTAATCAGAGCATGCGCCGTCTACTACGACCTTGATGCTCCGATCAGCAAGGAAACTGGTGATTAAATTTCAAAATTTCTTGGGAAGTCGAAGCCGAAGCCAAGCGGGAAAGCTTCGAAAGAAGCGTTTGCGCCAGACTGGGTCGAAGGCCTTGGCTATGTCCAAACTAACGGCCAATGCCTCCTCCTTGGACTCATATTATGTATGGTAGCCTCGTGAAAGCCTAAGCAGATAAGAAAACAAAATATCTAGACCTGGCTCACGAGGTGACTGACATGAATGGTGGTCTACCGACCGAAATTATTCCTGTAGTCTTCTCTGCGAACGGGCTAATCCTGGTCAGCCTCTCTCTTCATTTAAGGTGACTGGGACTCCGTGATGAACCGCTCCGGGCTCAAATGCAGAAAGCGGTGCGGTGCTCCTACTTGTGTGCTGGTTATTTTCCCTTTCTTCCTAACCCTCGTCTGTTTGCTCTGCCTGCCGAGGGCTCCCATCTGTTTGGGCTTTTATTTATTTATGTTTTATTTATTTATTCATATTGGTATTAAATAATACATATTTGTGTATGGTTAAAAAAAACCTCTATCGCCCACGACATATATTAATAAATCTTCCCAAAGAACCACCAAAAAACCCAGCGGGACTTCTTTTAAATAAATTTTACAATGTCAAGGGTCACAAAATAACTACAAAATTTATTTTAGAAACAGCTTGGAAGCACCTACCTCATTCCCAGGAGTTTTTATCGACCATGTATTCATTTAAATTGTAAGGGTTATTTATAATTAAAATTTTATAGTTTTTGTTGAATTAAATACTTAAACTCGGTAATGTTATAATAGCGTATACGTTGCCACAAGAATGAAATAACTAAAATAAACTTATATACTACATATAATATAAACTATATATTTATTGATTAAGCTAGATACTTTATCTACTTCTTAACAATAACTTAAATATTAAAAGTTCGAGTAAACCCAAAATTGTTTAAGTCAATACTTGAATGCGTAACGGTTAGTTCGACTGGTTTGACCGACAACCATATTCGACCACTGGGGATGTAAAAGTTTAAATAAGTTTTATTAGTATTTTTTAATAGTGTTACGCGCTCAAGTCGACGATACACTAGCGCCATCTAGTGTCAGGAACGAGAGCGAGGGGAGCATTGAGAAAATGACATTACAAATCACTCAACCGACAGCGCCTAGTCGAAACTCGAACGCTCGGTACCTTGCGCGTGTTTACTTGAACATTCTGGATATTTCTTTGCTAATTTAAATAAGTAGGCGCTGCAAGATGCGATCGAAGTAGACTTGAACTCGGCGACACAAGCGAAGCTTCGGAGCGGAATTAAGTGAATTAGTGTGTTTAATCATTAGTGTTTTAAGTTTTAATTTGTGTAAAGTAAATTAAAGTGTTAATTTAGGTAATTTTATCGGCAATTTTTATTGTCACGAACCCTAAGCTCGTAACAATTGGTGTCAGAAGTGGGATAAAATAATGCCGATTTTACCTAAGGAGGAAACGGAGGGTGTCCGTACCCGCAGTCAACGCCAGCATGAGACGGACCAGAGGAGATTTGGTGGTGCAACGCCGCAGACGTCGGAGGGCCAACTGCCAGCCACGGAGGCTGCGGGCCCGTCAGTAGCTCCGACATCTGCAGCATCTAACTTAGGCGCTCTGGTGGCGATCCTACAGGAGCAGCTGCAGCGCGGACGAGAGGAACAGGCCCGTCTGTTGAAAGAGCAGCAGGAGGAACAGGCTCGCCGACAGGAGGAACAGGCTCGCCGACAGGAGGAACAGGCTCGCCGACAGGAGGAACAGGCTCGCCGACAGGAGGAACAGGCTCGCCGACAGGAGGAACAGGTCCGTCGGTTGGAAGAGCAGCTGCGGGGCGGCCAGGAAGAACAGATGCTTCTCATGAAGGACCTTCACGCTACCTTCGGGAAAGAGATAAAGGAGGTGAAAGATAAGGTTGCTCAAGATGATAACCGCCTGTCGGAAGCTGAGACCCAAATCAACCAAGTTAAGAAAACGCTGGATGAACTCAAACTTGGGGATGGAACCACAGCTCCCGTAGTAGCTTCAGCACCTTCGCTACGTGGGTTCAAGGTGCCACCGTTTGACGGGACTTCTTCCTGGTCGGCCTACAAAATCCAGTTCGAGGCTGTTATGAAGGCGAACGGCTGGAATAAAAGTCAGGCCATGACTGCTCTCACACTAGGCCTGCGCGACCAGGCCTTAACAGTTCTGGAAGCTCTCGGTGAGGAAGTGACTTATGAGCAACTCCTTGAGGCGTTGGAGGCGAGATATGGCGACGCTCACCTGGAACACGTCTTTCGTGCGCAGCTTAAATATCGTGTGCAGCGCATCAACGAAAACCTGCAGCAGTGGGCTCTAGAAGTGGAGAAGCTGGTGCGAAAAGCATACCGGTCTGTACCTGCGCTCATTGAAGGGAACCTGGTGCAGACATTCATCGACGGCATCCGCGACCTGGAAGTCAGATCTGCTGTGAGGCTCGGGCACCACGAGACGCTTAAGGACGCCTTGGCCCATGCACTGGAAGTGGAAGCCGTGCGGCAGGATCATCGTTCCCATCGCGTCAGGGAGGTTGCAGCAGCTACAGACCGTGACCGCAGCAAAGGATACAGCCCTAGGTGCTATGGCTGTGGGGAAAAGGGGCCATCTTCGATCCAGCTGCCCTAAACTAACCGTGGAAAGGAGAGTTGATCGATCTCGAGAGGGTAGTACAGCTAACGGCACTGCCTGGCGGCGACAGGATCATCGTTCACCTCACGCTAGGGAGGTTACAGCAGTTACGGTTCGCGACCACAATAAAAGATACAGCCCTAGGTGCTATGGCTGTGGGGAAAGGGGCCATCTTCGGTCCAGCTGCCCTGAGCACACCCTACGAAGGGAAGGTGAACGGTCTCAGAATGGAAGTGCGGCTAGCAGCACCGCCCAGCAGCAGCAGGAATACGACTTTACTATCGGACACTGCAGCGGGAAATCTCACGGCAACGCAGATGCATTGTCAAGAAGACCTTGTCCTGAAGATTGCAACCATTGTAGTAGGCAAGAGAGTAAGGAGGTGGTATCCGTGAGGATGCTCAGGACAGACCACCTCAGCAACGGGAGGAAGGACAACCTACGACATGCACAGCAGGAAGATCCGGACATCAAGCCGATTCTGGGATGGATGAAGGCCCGTGATGCCAAGCCTAAGTGGAGGGACGTCTCAGCGATGAGTTCAACCACGAAAAGCTATTGGGCCCAATGGGACAGCTTGCTGATTCAGGATGGATTCCTGTGCCGTAAATGAAGGGAATCGTTTGCAAATGGTTGTCCCTAAAGCTAAAGTGTCGAATGTTCTACAGTTGTGCCTAATGGTCGTTCAAGAGTCCATCTGGGAGTTAAACGAACTCTACTGAAGGTCCGAGAACAGTTTTACTGGGTCCATTATCGTGACGATGTCGAGGATTGGTGTCGTACATGTACAAGTTGTGCGGCCGTGCGGGGACCTCGGACACGTAGTAGAGGAGCACCGAAATTGTACAATGTTGGTGCACCACGGGATAGGACAGCCCTTGACATTGCGGAGCCGTTACAGAAAGGCGCAAGAGGGACTCCTAAGATCGTCCATGTGAATCGCTTGGCGCGTTATTATAGGGCCGATAATGCTCGGGACGAGCATGTCTTAGGAAGGGGCAGTGTTACGCGCTCAAGTCGACGATACACTAGCGCCATCTAGTGTCAGGAACGAGAGCGAGGGGAGCATTGAGAAAATGACATCACAAATCACTCAACCGACAGCGCCTAGTCCAAACTCGAACGCTCGGTACCTTGCGCGTGTTTACTTGAACATTCTGGATATTTCTTTGCTAATTTAAATAAGTAGGCGCTGCAAGATGCGATCGAAGTAGACTTGAACTCGGCGACACAAGCGAAGCTTCGGAGCGGAATTAAGTGAATTAGTGTGTTTAATCATTAGTGTTTTAAGTTTTAATTTGTGTAAAGTAAATTAAAGTGTTAATTTTGGTAATTTTATCGGCAATTTTTATTGTCACGAACCCTAAGCTCGTAACAATAGAATAAGTGTGATAAACGAGCACACAGTCCACCTGGTAATAAGTGCATACTGTGGGTACTGTGGGTATTGAGGGTAAATATCCTCGATGAAGAATTAATAGGTAATGATTTGTCACCCCTGAGGATTAAGATGTGAAGCTTAAAGATTAAATAAATTGTGATATAAATAATAACAATGTATCAAAATATGCAACGAAAAGTGTACGCTTGAATTGTTGCATTCATGTGAATTGCAAGCATAAAAATATTTCTTATGTATACGTGAATACTAGACATTGAATAAAACTATTGTTTTATTTTAATCATATATTCTAGTTTTATTCAATGCTAGCATATAATTAATAACGTTTTTTTTCAAACCTATGAATAAAGCATATGGTAAATAAACGCTTAGATTTTTCGCGTTTACGATATTTATATCCAACAGCAGTTGCATTATATTGTAGGGTAACCAACAAAGTGCAAAAAGCACTGCTAGAAGAAGGAGTATCCAGGCTACTCTTTTCCTTTCCCTCATTAGTCTTAAGCCCTGAAACAAAAGACAGAGTTTTCTTATGAGAATGGCTGATAAAGCGTTAAATTAAAGTTAATTTTAGAAGATAAAGTGCCAAATAAACAAACAATTTTTCTGGTGATAACATTACATAACATACATTAACACTCACGCCTGTCATCCAGAGGCTTAGGACGACGATACGGCCTTCCATTTTACACAATTCTGTTACACCTTTCTCACCTCCTCTACATCACCATATACCTACATGCGCCATATATCTACATGCTCGGCGGTTCAGGATACCCTTAATGTGGCCCATCTTTAATAGATTGCCAATCGGATTGATAAACTTTCGTCTAGGGCGTCCCTTCCCTACTCTGTCGTTTACTTTTGCAACTTAAATTTTCTTTGTCACTTGTTCCTCGTTATATCTTTCCATTTGATAAAATCACCTCATATTAGCTGATAAGTGGGTAACTTTTAACAAAGAACTGATATGGAATGCTTCTTAGTCTGGTATAATAATTATGTTTATCTTTCAGACCTTAAGAATGTGCTCAGCGGAAGTAGGTAAGAGGCTGGTGCGCACCCAGACAGAGTCTTAAGCAGTAAGAGAGTTCTACGCTTTAGTAGTGTATTTCCCGTCGATGTAAAATAAATTATATACCGCACAGAAAAGGATAAGTCAACGCGTATTCTTATATAATAGAGCGTATTGTAAATGTAGTCCAGCAACTTTGGAAGCGAATTTTTGCTTAGTTTTTGACCGTCCAATCTAGCCGTCTAATAAGGGGAGAACGCAATATTTCCAACCGGAGAAGTACAACGCTTCTTTTAATATCGCACATGTAAAGAGACAAAATATAATGGTTGAAAATCAACGATAAAGAGTTTTGGGGATACAACGCCACTCTGTCTTATACCGATCTGCAATTGGATGGGTACTCTGGTTTGTAACTGGACAGCCATCGTAGCCCTACTGTAAAAACTCTTCAACGTTACTCTCAGAAACTTCGATATACCGACGTTCAATCTGGCCCCGCTGAATCCAGTCCTGCCTTTTAAACCCAAAAATCAGACTACGTAAAAACTTCTACTCCCTTTTTTGTATCTAAAAACGAAATATATAAATATTATATTGCCTACATCATTTCCACAATTAAAAAAAACCTATCAACACCTTATATGTTAAAGTCCACCAAGTTGTCTAGGCAAAACAGTGTGCTAAATTAATAGACATACATACAGACAAATACTCTCGAAATATACTCTCGAAAAAACAGTATTTTCCTTCTGGGACAGTCGGGTATAATTTAAAAACAAAGCTGCTAAATATTTCATTATTTAAATTAAAAACATTGCCTTTATTACCTGCTGCATGCTCACGTTTCCTTCATCAATGTCAAAAGGTGGCCTGACAGAGCATAGCGTTCGGCCCATACAGGCATATGATAGGATTGTGATTGAACCTGCGGAATGAAAGCTATTTTGCACTCTGTGGTTTTAGTTCGTTAAGGTATTGGCACACATTCCTTTTATATACTAAGGTTATAACGTAAAATACGAATCAAGGATTCTACTTTTATTGAATATGGACTACAAACAAGCTCACCATCGGGTCAACATCTACGTCTATCCTCGATTAAAAACACAAAATGCTTTGTCACCCCTGAGGACTATTATGGAATGCCTTGCTTCCAGTAAAAAGGGTTTCTGTTTCTTAAAACTCAACATGCATAACCAAGCTATTCTTAGCTGCTATTTTACGCTGGTATTCTGTGAGATTGTAGTCCTTCACTGGTCAAGCTACCATTCGTGATACAACTATAATGTAGCTGCAGTGTGGCTCTACCCCATAAATTAACTAATAGTTAATACTTAATTGTTATTAAAGGTTTATTGTAAGTGACAGAATGGATTACGAATGTAACAAGAAATCAAGTAAATTAAAGAAACGAACTTGACTGTGATGATCTAACTAAAATAGGATAATTTAACAATACACTAGGAACGGATAAGAATGATAGAAGAATATCGGATAATTTCCAGGCAAATATTAAAATGTTCTGGAAACTTGTAAGAACTGCCAGGGGACATTCGAAACAGCCTATGATGAATGCTATAAGAGAAGAGAGTGGCTATATTCTGAATGATGAAGTTTTGAGTTTAAAGAGATGGAAGGAATATTTTGAAAGCGTGTTCATGAGTGAGGAGACGACGTGTGTACTAAGTGAAGTAGAAATTCCGAAAGAAGAGAAAAGAGGTAGCGAGATAAGTATGGGTGAAATAATGAAAGCAATGAAAAGCATGAAAGCAGGTAAGGCTGCCGGATATGATAGAGTTTCACTCGAAATGCTAAGGGCTGGAGAGGAAGTGGTGGCAGGCCTGCTGCACACCTTGTTTAATTTATGCTGGGAACTGAAGCGGGTACCGGTAGACTGGTGCAAAGCCGTGATAGTCCCAGTATATAAAGGAAAAGGGTCGCAGCAGGACTGTAAAAACTACCGTGGCATCAGCCTTCTTAGCATTGTGGGAAAACTGTATGCTAAGGTACTGATTGGAAAGGATCATGAAAGAAACTGATGGAAAAATTTGGAATGTGCAAGCGGGATTTAGAAAGGGAATGGGATGTACAGATCAAGTCTTGTCCATGCGCATGATCGCGGAGAAGTTTTTGGCCAAAAACAAAAAGGTTTTTTGTGCGTTCAGGGACTTGGAAAGGGCCTATGATAAAGTGGATAGAGATGTGCTATGGCAAACACTGAACTCATTTGGGTTGAGCGCTGGCTTGGTACAGGCATTGGAGTCTCTTTAGAGGGACTCTTGTGCTTGTGTTAGGATCAACGGGATCTACTCGGACTGGTTTGACATCCATAAAAGTGTCAGACAGGGCTGTGTGGCTTCCCCGTGGCTCTTTAACCTATTTATGGACAGTTGTTTGCAAAATTTGAAAGTTGAAGAATGCGGATTAAGAATAGGTGAGTTAACCGTCAAATGCCTTTTGTACGCCGATGATCAAGTTATTCTTGCGTCGTCGGCGGCCGAGTTGCAAATGATGGTTACATTAATGAACAAATCATTATAAGAAAGGGGTATGAAAGTAAACGCAAGTAAGACGAAGGTTATAGTTTTTAAAAGAGAAGAAAGTAAAACGATTTGTGAAATAAGCATAGAAGGGGAGTTGATCGAGCAAGTAGATGAGTATGTATATTTGGGCTGCGTATTTAGCAGGGATGGGAGATATGATAAGGATATAGAACGACGAGTGAATGCAGGAAATAGAGTAAATGGGGCCCTGTACTCTATTGTGAAGAGTCAAAATGTGTCGAAAAAAGCCACGTATGGCAATTCACAATGCTGTGTTGGTCCCTACTTTAACGTATGGTAGTGAAAATTGGGTGTGGCAGAAGAAGCACGAGAGTAGAATGAACGCAGTAGAAATGCGGTCGTTAAGGAGTATGTTAGGGCTGAATCTGAATGACAGAGGAAGAAATTGTGTAATAAGAGAAGAGTGTGGTTTGCAAGATGTTGTTTTGACCAGGATTAAGAAAGGAATGCTTCGATGGTTTGGTCATGTGGAAAGAATGAATGAGGAATGAGTGACAAAGAAAATTTATGTTGCAGAAGTGAATGGCAGAGTCGGAAAGGGACGTCCTAGGTGAAAATTTATCGACCAAATTGGCGATTTATTGAAAACGGGCCAAATTAGGAGTACCCTTAACCGGTGAGCATGTATGCGTAGGTGTATGGATGTGAAGGAGGCGAGAGAGGTGCGTCAGGATCGTGCCAAATGGAAGTCTGTAGTCTCTGCCTACCCCTCTGGGTGACAGGCGTGAGTGTTTATGTTATGTTATGTTACACTAGGAGTATATTTTTAATGAGATACAATACATGATAAATTTAAATATATTTAATTTTAAGATTTGAAATCTTAAAAGGTTCATGTTCGTCATATTTATTTTATCTTGACATTATTTAGGCAACTTTACCAATAAAATGATAAAAATCGATTGAGATATCGTTTTTGCTCAGAACAATAACTAACGAAATCAAAATCCAACGGCAGGTTTTACATTTGCTGAAAGACAAAAATTAAATATTCGAGTTACTTATTTTTGTATAAAAATATTACTGTCGATTAGAAAAATAATAAGACATCAACAATAAGGTCAAATAATTTAAAAAAAAACTGCGTTTAGCCAGCCGCCTGGCAAGCGTAACAACTATGGAAACTATCATTTCTATAAGGTATTCTATGAAGCAGGCTTGGATGTTCAACAATGGATTTTTGATAAGCTATAAAACATGAATAAGGTGCAATACAAATCTTCTCTAATATATACAAATCAAATGCTGTCCGTCTCGTCAAAACTCGAAACAGCTTGTACGATTTTAATGAATTTTTTATTTTTTTAGTGGGTCCCTGGATAGTCTAAAACTCAATTTGACCCGGAAAGTGTCGCTGTTTTTGAAACCCAAAAATCGGGTCGGCAGGTCGCTAGTAATAATTAAAAAAATACAGAACAATTATGGCTTGAATTTAAAACTTATATTAGTTTAGCACATTGAAAAATTCAGAGTACAGCGAAATTAATTTAAGTTAAATTCAAATTGAACAAATGTTTTTTGAACACACCTGGTATAGCGTACACTAGAGTAAAACTAAATATTCCAAACTTTTTTCTGGATTCTGGTCCCGACCATTCCTCTGTACAAAAATGTACGTCTCTCGTTTCTATCTACAAATTAACAAGAAGGTTATAAGTCAAATAATTATTTTACGTTTGAGCCGCTGTAGTTTGCCAAAACTAGATTAACCTGAAGGTAGATTTTGTAGATTAAATAACGCGGGGTCTCTTAGCTTTTGGATGGTTATAAAAATTCATTTTTACGTGATTTTAAAGTATGACTAAGGGATAATACCTCTGAAACTAATGACCATAATCAATCAATGATTAGGGTCATTAGTAGTAATTTTATACAACGCGAAAAGCCTTATTCTTTTATGTTAAAACGCTACTAGGATTTTCTTCTGTATTGTAAATGCAGTTTACATACATAAATTGCGCAAGGACAAACATGCAGACCCGGGACAATTTATTTCTAGGCCATACAAATACTTGTTCCGTGCGGGATTCGAACCTGCGTTCCTCGGCACCGTAACTCATTGCTAAGCTACTGCGCCACGGAGCCGTTTCTGCGTCAGGTCTCCAAGATTTCCAGGTGTAGGTGTATTTCTATAGCATTTTTTCTTATTTCTTTATAAGCTGATATTTGCCCATCGCCGGATAACAGTTTATCCAATGGTATAGAGTATTTGCAGCAAACTATTCGCTTGTCAGCAGAATCGGATATCTCGCACGATTGACGTAAAAGTCCAAATTACTGTCACGCATCATCTAAACATACACTCTCTGAGAAGTTTAAAAGTGTAAATAAAATAAATTATTAACTAGCTGTTCCTCGCGACTTCGCCTGCGTGGAATTTATTATAATTGGATTTTATGGGTTTAATTTTTTTCCGCGGTACCGTAATTCTATTTCTAAAACGAAAGTAGCTTAAGATACTGCCAGTAAGAATCCCGTTGAAATCAGTCTAGACGTTCCAGAGAGTACGTCTGGACCGATTTCGACGGGATTCTTTTTTTGTTATAAGTACCACATATTATTTTATATACATTTAGTAAGAGGCTGTTATTTTGACATTGAAAAGACACTTCAATTTTATTTATTTGTATATATTAGTTACCAGATTTTAATAATAATATAACGTGGGCTATTTCCATAACCGTATTTATTTTATTCTTGCCTAAATATTAGACTCTAGTCTGGTGTACTTGGAAATAAAGGGAATAAACCATTGGATTTTCCCATTATTCCTGTAAAAAAGTTCATTATTAATAGGGATAAACGCAAGGAGCCGTGGTAGCTCAGATGGTTAGCGTTCGCTGTAAATTTCACAGTACGCGAGCAAACCGGGTTCGACCGGGTTCGGCACAAATCAAATTGTTAATTGCAATTTTAAGTGCTGATTTTACCACGTGCTCGGCGGTGAAAGACAACATCGTGAGGAAACCTGCATGTCTGAGAAATAAGAAAAAAATTCGAAGACATGTGATGTTCGCCAACACGCATTGGGCAGCGCGGCGGACACTTCATTGCCCTAAAACCCTTTCAGAAATGAGGGGAGGACTGTGCTCAGCAGTGTGACGTATATAGGCTGTAACTTTAAGGATAAAAACAAAATTCAAACTTGGATTTTTGTCACTTGGTAAAACTCTAGATTCATTATTGTGATTTGGATAAACACGTATATTTGTTTTACAATATCTATTTAAATTATTATTATAAAACTTAGGGTATACTCTGACGATGGTGTGAGGCAAAATCGGTCGGTTCTATAATTAGTATAATAATTTTATAAATAATGTGAAACTATTACAAGTGTTTATTTAAATTGCACAAACATACACACAATATTATTTAATCTTTTTTATTTATTCTTTTTCGTTATCGTGGAGACAGTATACAAACAATAATTGCACAAGGATAAATATCCAGACCCGAAATAACTAATTGTTAGTTAATATATAAGAACACACTATGCCGGTGAAACAAAACACGTTTAATCTTCACTAATGGGTGATCACTATTTTACAGTTTACGAAACACTACACCTTTCGAATTCCTATGTATAGACACTTTCCTTTAAGATTTCAAATGTGTAACAACGAAGAAAAATTGATCTTTTAATTATTTGACGTTACCTCCTGTTGTATTCTGTTCGTTTAGGATCGATCACATACGAGATGATTATACTGCCATATATCGGTTATATATGTGGCCATATATGTTATGAGATCTTACTCAGGTTCCTCATAGTCTCTTTTTACGACACTCACGAGAAAGTAATATTTGGTAATGCCTCAACATCTCAATTAATTTCTAGTGTTTTCTACAGCTAACATTATATTAAAATATAAATTACATACAGATATATTTTCATACGCCTTTGAAATAATAGGTACAGCCTCCTTGGTCACTGTGGCAACCATCAATAGTGGTATGAATATCAGCAGTGCCGCAAACCACAGTAAGGTCAATAGCAGCAACGCTTGCCGTTTTCCTGGTGGTCGCAGCCGTGGTTCTGGTGCTATAGACAGCCATCGGTCAACTGACATGGCTGTCAACGTGAAAACACTTGCTGCTACTGCAACACCTAAAAATGTGCACATCATTCGCTTCATATTTGGTTTACGCAAATATGAATATGTATTCCAATTTCGAAATCAACTCTAGTGACTCCCAATTTGCCTCCGCCGGAATGTTAATATACTCTCTTTACATTTTTGTGTACTGTTCGATTCGATGTCTCTAAGTTATCTTAAGGAACAATTTCGCTATCGGCCTGAATTTCATGGCCGTAATTCGCGTTCAGTGTATTAGCTTGGCTTTGAATATTCCTTGCAGCGTAACTCCATTTTATAACAAGTCATTTATGTTATAAAAAACTTAAGGAGTATTATTTGAAATTCCCGACGTTATATATACTGCAGAGAAAATTCTATTCGGAATATCTGAAAGTGCACGCCTCACATGCTTATTATGCTAAAAATTAAAATTAAAAGAGATGAAAATAGTGACGATAATTTTTACCAAAAAAAAACAAGATAATTTTTCAATAATAACATTTAAACGTTGTTGAATTCAATTAAAAAAAAACCAATGGGCATCTTCCTCAGAATATATGGAATCTTGTTTAATACTCATTCTCAATCTATTGCTTACATTTCTATCAAGCGAGTAGACTCACTGTCGCACAGACCAAAGAACGGCAGTAGATATATTTTTTCAATTACATCTTTTGTTATGTTATCTTAAGTGAATCAACTAGAATATAAACTAATCTTATAATTCAATGTCATTATTTAATGAAACGTTAACAATAATATGGGTTTGATGTCTAGTTAAAAGTATAAGACGATTTTATGTCGCGATATTTAGTTGCGGCGTGCAATATTAAATTAAAATTATTCTGGGTGTTTGGAAGATGGATGCAAAGCCTGAATGGGATGATATCTTAAACTACTTAGTACATATTAAGCTAAACTTATCTTAAACGAAGTTTTCTCCTTTTTTAATTTAATTTATAAGGTTTTAACAAAAAAAAACTTTTTTTTTTCAATTAATTGCTAATAGCGTCCAGTAGTAGTTGTTATGTTATTATTTTTTATTTACGTAATGTGTGATTACTCAAAGAAAATTCCGAGTATCTTTATCACCAGAAAAACATTTTAAGCATATTTAAGTTTACGAAACCAAAAAAAAATTAAAAAGTTTTGTGCCTTCGTTGTTCAAACCCTTAAAAACGTACCTAGTTATTTCACTTTCTTTTGAGGTATTGTTTACGCAGATGTCTCATCAACTCTTAGAATTAGGGTGTACAAAGCAAATTGCTAACGAATATTTGTAATTTTTTACAGACCAAATAAAACAACATTTTTTGTTAAAATAATTTATTCTTCGTGATAAAAATGCCGCGATCACAATTTCTGACACAAGCGCGGGCTCGTCAACTCACTTCTGTGGTCGTAATTTTCATTTTCATCTTCTGCTTCATAACTTGAAAAACTATATATATATATATATATATATATATATATATATATATATATATATATATATATTCAACAATATATTCATATTATTCATATATTTAATAATATTTTTCTTTTCTTTTATTCAGTTCATTTTATATTGCACGTTGCACCTATCCGTCAAAATACAAAATTAACATGTCCTTTTACGTTCGGTTTGTCGGTTCGAAATTGTTTAAAGCGACAAAAAAAGCCTTTTAGAATAAAGCGTAGAATCATTTTTATTCAATTTAGTACTACGACCACTGGTTCGGAGAAAACCTCTGTCCTAGGAAGAACCAGCAAGAAACCCAGCGGGACATTTCTTTTAAATATAATGAATTATATATAACATATATAATTATTATATTTAAAAGAATATATATATAACACAACTTTATATAATTATGCACAGATCACAGACAATCAACTAAGAGTTGCACTGAGACTAATTTAGTAGCTAAGAATAATAAATAATTCGTTTCCATGAATAAATTATCCGATGAGTTGAGGATGAGCTAGTAGCGGAATACAACAAGTGCATCGTGCCACGTTAGAACCACAATGCCACGGCGGCCACTCCGTCCGTTTTATGCAAGCAAAACAAGTAGCCACACGGACGCCACTGCAAGTGTAACGCGCAGGTGTGTGTGGTGTACGTGTTGCTTACAAGAATCCTAGCTAGCTACGGAAGCGCCGCCGCACGTGCTACAGCCCAGGTGCCGTCATTCATAATTTTTTTCCGTTATTATAATAACTTTGTCTAAATGCAATCAAGAATTGTCTATCTATCTATCATTCTTCTTTTATATCATATTTTACATAAGTAAGTGACATAATGGTATACTCACGCAGCCCCGGTGGAGGATCGTTACAAGAAATCGTGACGTTATTTTTAGTATCGTACAAAACTTTCCCATTACGTCGATCAAAAAAGGTGCGTGTAATTGTGTACACAAGTAGAAAGTGAAACGTCTTTACAACTATCATTCTTCTTTTATTTTATACTTTACACACATTTTAATTTATAAGTTACATAAATTCACAGATGATTGCAAGGACAACATTAGCAAAATGTTCTAGAATGGTTACTTCATTCAGGTAGAATTGTAGGGTAACTTTTTACTAGAGGGAGGGGTAACTCTTTACTTAATGGGTGCGAATCGACCTTTTATGTGATGCAGGAAATTAAAGGACGTAAATTTCTAAGAAATGCATTCGATAGCGGAGGACTATGTTCATTCAGCAGGGGACTTGTGATGGGCTACAATGATGATGATATTTTATATGATGAGCGTATATTTTCACCGTATACTGGCAACGTAAAATAATCCCCATATCATTCCAAGGGTGTCGTAAGAGATGGCTGAGGAAAATGGAACAAGAAATATACAGCAGCCTCTTACCGATAATAATTCAAAATAAAAAACACCTGCGGCTGTCAGGCCGACGTTCAAGCTTGACAACTATAGAAAATAACCCCCTCTTGTCGCATTCTAATAATTTGTTATCTATATAAATGGTGAGGCTGTAATAATAAGAGTAATGATATCCTGTAGACCTAATTTCGGTCACAGCAACCAGTACCGTTGGAGTCTAGAGATATAATTGGCGAACACGTTCTAAATTTAAGAACAAGTAAAAAGAATAATATATTATAATAAATTAATTTGTTATTACAAAACATGAACGCACCTTGTATATAATTTACGATTTTGCATACCGTATCTCCATAGAACCAAACTAATGTGATAGCTTTACTAAGCTGTATTGGCATGCAGACGCTTGTGACCAACAAATCTGCAGTTGCCAGATTCACGAGGAATATATTAGTTACGCTGAAACAAAAAAATACCACGATTAATTTAATATTAGTACTTATAACAAAAAGAACACGCTAACGGTGTTACTTGCCTAGCGCGTCATAAAAGAAGACTAGACCATTATTATATGACTGTATGAGCGATGGGATAGTTACACAAACAATTTTCCATTTATACCCATGTTTTTTGGCTAAGCGTGTTCCAAGTGTTTCGCTGCTCTTTGAACTTCGCCTTAGCCCTCGGTGATTATATCATCATACTTACGAGTGTTAGTTCTTTACGAATGAACTGCTGAAAATATATTTCACTCTCTTGGGTGCCATATCACAAGGCAGGGTCTTGAGTCACCTTCATCCGTCGACTGCCTATCACACTAAGTCATGACTCCATCTCTTGTGTGGGGCCATCCTACACTTCGCTTACTGGTACGAGATTGTCACCCGAGAACCTTTATTCCCCATCTCCCCATCTCATTGTTTTGCAATTCTTCAAAGGTGAGAAACATCAGATACTGTGATCCACAGTCTGCTTGCCAAGGGATGTGATTATGGGATATATCATGTGACGATAATGAAGAAGATTAACACATAATATAATACCAAATACAATACCCGATGGTAATACTATACGACCACAATATCTTGTAGACATAGTAAAATATTCGCCACGCACCATTTATATCAGATATGTAAGTTTAATAATTTAATGTGCATTTAAACGTGTGTACATATAATTTATGTATACATTTATGTACTAAGAACTGAAAGTGAAATACAGCTTGCTTAATATACAAACCTAAAAATTCAATGAATTAGTGTTCAATTTCGACTACTAGGCGACTGTTAGTGCCAGTAAATTATAAAAACATTATATACAAATCAACTTAATAGATATTTACATGATTCAAAATACAGAGAGACAAATAAAGGCCTTGTGCAGTACAGACGGACGCTACGTGCGTCGACACTTCGTCGGCATCTCATCATAAGAGTGCCTCGTTAGTATTGAGTACTATCAGAGACAAAATGAGTAATTGGCAAATCAAAATGTCTGAAATACTATGTATTTGCGCAACCTATCAAAACGGTGATCCACACCGCAGCTATATTATAGTTGTAGCACGAATGGGTCGGCTCGACCGGGGAATAACCACGCTACCACAGAGTACCAGCATAAAATAGCAGCTTAATACTGCTGTGTTTCGTACGGTGAGTGTAGAGATCCGGATATCCTTTTCTACAGGTTACGAGGCATCCCATCTTAGTCCTCAGGGCTGAAAAAGCACCTGCTTTTTGATTCTCAATCGAGGATAAATGTAAATATCTAGTCTATGGGCCACAGCATCCACTTACCATCAGTTGGACTGAGTGCTCGTTTGTCACCCTTATTCTATAAAAAAAGACATTAAGTAATGTTTTGTAAGGAACTATATCAGTTATTGAAGTATAATTCAGTTGAGCAACAAAATAAGCTTTTTAGCATTAGAATAGTGCTAAAAAAAGGAAGTTGAAGGAGTAAGTCATAACTGTTGTAGATAATAGCTTTTTCTCTTATTAAATATTGCAAACATTTTACAAACCCATAAAGGTAATCATTTGAATAAAAATTTAATATTCATGTGTTCATGTATTCTTTCTTACCCCAAGTGCAAAGTATTAAGTTCATTCAGAGATGCTACACAGATACCGTTCTTAACAATAATCCACACGGAGTAAGGCATAACGGTTATTGTATTTTATAGCTTTTTCTTGTAGTAAATATCGCATACAACCTATAAACCTATAAATGTAAATATATAGATAAAAAAATCTGCGTGTAATTGTGTACAAACGTACGTAGTTAAATATCTTTACAACATATCACTATTCTTTTATTTTATATTTTACATAAATATGTTAAATAATAGTATACTCAAGAAATCTTGGCGATGAAAAAATACGAGAAAAGGTGACGTTTCTGATTTTTAATAACGTACTAAATTTCTCCACTAGGTCTGTAGAGGACATGCCGATATTACAATAAACAGTTACGCTTATGAATCAACAGAGAACAGTCAATTCATTCCGCCTCCGCACGTTATACCTACCTACACACACACTCATACAAACTATATGTGGTGACCCTGACGTGATCTGAACACGCAACCTTCTGATGTGGAGTCAGATGTTAAGTCACGTTAACCTACTTGCACACACACTCATATAAACTTATAGGGCTATAAAAAAAAGTTTTATTTCAAAATTTAAAACCAAAGTTGATATCCATAGGTTTGAGCAAAACTGTATATATGTGATTAATATAGAAGGAGGAAGAAAGAAAACCATGTCAAAATAATGAGTTCAGCTATAAATATAGAAATACGACGTAACGCACATCATGTCACCTAATAAAGTCTGTTTCGTTCCATCCAAATCAACGTTTAGTAACTACTGTCATATTTTTATGCAAAATATTTCAATGAAAACTTTCATAAAATTTTAAGTTATAAGTCTTTGGTGTATTGATTGCTAAGCAAAGAAGGCTAACTTGCACTCGGTGTATTTCAAAGCCCACTTTTCACTGTAAAGACAAGATCACAAATGTTCTATTTAATATTGACTATGTGATACTTAAGTTTTATTCTAAGCGAAACAATGAATATCATGCTGTTGGTGGTGTTTACATATCACCAAATCAACCCTTAAATGCTTATCAATTATTTTTCAACTCTCCCCAAAATGAGCTTGTATGTAACGAAAATACAAAAATATATATTTTCGGGGATTTTAATCTATCCCATATTGAGTAGCGACATTACTTCGGCAATACATGTACTCCTAATATATATTACTGCAAAAATCCAATATCTTTGCTCGTTTCAAAGTTTTTATCAATTGTAAACTGCAAACAATTTAATTTAATTAAACGTAATAAGAATCGTATTTTAGATCTTTTTATTTCAAATAATGATACATTCAATTGTAAGTAACCACTAAGTTCTTTAGTTCCAATAGATGTCGTTCATCACCACTGAACGCCGCGATACTTTTCAAGACAGAATACATACGATTGACGCATAACACTCTACCAAAATATCGATATTCCGAAGATAAATGTGCACACATCCATGACGATATTAACCCCTCAGTCCCCTTAAAATTTCCATGCAGTCGCATGCGCGCGGCACATCCCGAACGGTCGCATGTGGTGGCACCCACCACTTAAACTATTAAAACTTATATTTGGAGACTATTTTACTACGAAGAAGTTTGACATTATAAGATCTATACAAAACTCAGGTTTTACTTCATTATAAAAATACTATTGCATTTTGGTAACAAAAACAAAACATACTAAGCGAATGTCGGCAGTATGACAATCACAATTATTTCTATATTTTTTATATATATATATATATATATATATATATATATATATATATATATATATATATATATATATAATTAAAAGATAAATTATATTCATACAAACACTTCCATAACAATTTTATAATAAAACAATATATTAAAACACTAATAAAATAATAGAACGATCCAAAAATCAACACAATAAAATTCACGCGAAAATGACGTACGAAATAAACGTAGATTTTAAATAAATGTCTTTAGGGTAACTAATTTTTATTGCACTAGAAAATTTCATATTGATTCTATAATGCTAAACTTTTTATAGAAAAGTAGTCTCTATATATAAATTTTTATGGGTTAAAGTGCTGTGAGTGCGTGCTTTCATTTTTGACCGCTTGAATTTTGACGGAATATCGAAGCGGTCAAATTTGGCCGCTTGGTGTTTGAGAGGTTAAACGGATACACTGAGCACGTATTTTGGAAGCGTCGTCCTAAGACGCTGCCACAAACCAATTTTATGAAGATATATATATAAAAATATAAGGAAAAAAGGTACGTGTTTCCTAATATTTTTATTTATATCTCGTATCGTATCGTTCAATTAAATCTAAAAAAATTCCAATATGGTTTACACGCCCACTAATATACATATTTAAAAACAAAGAAAAATCACGGATAAAGTGGAAAAAGTTTTCTAATAAAGTAGATTATGAGGAATATTCTGTATTTCGAAAAACTTTTAAACAACTCTCCGCTGAGTGCTATAATTATTTTTTAAGCAAAATTGAAACAAGTTTTGCAGAAGGACATTAAAATATGTTGGTGTTTTGTAAATAATAAAAAAAATCATATCCCAACGAAATGTCTTACGATGGAAATGAAACCGAAAATCATGACGACATATTATGTGAACTGTTAGGCTATCTCATTAAGAATACCTCTGTTTTATTTGTATAACCGCAGTTTGCGTGAAAGTTTAGGGTAGTCCTTAAAATCGACAAATATAACCCCTGTGTTCAGAAAAAGGTTCTAAAACTGACGTGACTAATTATAGGCATATCTCCTTACTTTCTTCCTTATCGAAAGTCCTTGAACGCTTAGTACATAATTCATTATATCTGAGTTTACACAACTTTATAATTTCAAAATAATATGGTTTCGTAAAACACCGATCGGCCATCAGTAATCTTATTTTATATACAAACTCTCTGATAATATGGACAATCGAGTACAAAGTGACACTGTTTACACAGACTTTTGTAAAGCTTTTGATAAGGTGAAACATTCCATCCTTCTTCAAAAACTTGCGGTCAATGGGATACGCGGAAACTTACTGCAATGGTTCTCATAATGATTTCTTATATTTACGCGAACACTATACATTGATTAAAACTACTTTTACGGATTTTATCGCGTTTTATTTATATTAATTTTAATACCCGACGTTTCGGGTGCTTTCCAGCACCCATGGTCACGGGGGACTGAGGTGACTGACGTCCCGATGTCAAAGTTAACCCGGAGTACCTTCAGCTTTTTAAATATTGTCTTTGGTCCGATCTACGCAGAAAGAACTAACTGTATTTTGAAGTCTTGCAGTTGTATGCTTGGGTTTAGTTTTAATTTTATTAATTATAGGATCCCAATCAGGTGGTAGTACCCAGCCTCCTT